AATTGTAATGGATTGTAATGGATCTAGAAAATCTTATAGAGATCCTATAACTCGTATGAAAAGGGTTCAGTGGATATGTGATAAGCAGAGTTGAAGTGAGAATGTCATTATGGGCTGCCGACGTTATCTCACAACACTTCTGCCAGATATCATTGCTCATCGATTACTGTGAAGAAATTTTAGCAATATAGCGACCGCAATCCGCTATTTCCCTACCAGGGAAATAGCTACTCCACTATTTCACTAGTAGCAAAGTAACGGAATAACGCGTTATTGCACACTCTGCATAGAATTAAATCATCCAGTCATTCATTAGTGATGCGATAGTGCTGGTGTGCGTCCTTGCTGACAGCTTCGATGGCATCTGTAACAGCCGATAGATCCGCTTTGAAGCGTTCGATTGTGGTCACCAAATCCTGTGCTTCCTTGATGATTTCGACGCTTCTCGTGATCGGATCATACACAACCGAGAACGGACGTTTGATACTGCGAGCGTAACGTCTGAAATGCGAGCGATTTCGTTTGAAATGAAAGGAATTCCTCAAAACATCGACCGAAATCAAACTAGCACCATGTATTAGACTACGGTGAAAAAAGCAATTACTATTGAGCTCCACTCAGTAAAATATGTTGCACGGCCTAAGCCTAAGCCTAAGACTATTTGATTATGATCTAATTGACAAACCTGAGTTTGATCATTGCATCAATAATCGAATCAGCAACGAAATAAAGTGGCTGATAATCTGCATCCTCGACCTTCTGGAGGGCAGTCGTCTCCGGATCGAATGGGCGATGATCTGGTTTATCAGAGCACGCATGCTGAATACCACGGAAGCGTTATTCGTGTATGTGAGGAATTACAATGAATTCATGATTTCACGAAAAAGGCGACAGCTTTTATTGATCACGAAATGCCGACGATTTTAGTCAAAACCTTGGATTTTTTGATAGAACCTTGACCAGACAAGATTCTGCTCAAAAAGTGGTTCTGCGCTGAAGAACATCTTGGATCATCGCAGAAAACCTTCATCATCCTAGAAACCTACCATCAATTCTCCGTATGATGAGAGTAGCCCGGCTCCTATCGCCTTGTAGCGTCCCTCTTGACGACACAGTCCGAATTCAATTATGAACCAATAGACCTGAAAGGTTCTCTTTTATTCTCCACCTTACAACGGCTTTATCAAGATGGTGTTCTCCCTATTGGTGACACCATTTCGCCTGCGCATTGCGTGCTAAGTGCTGATAACAATGTCGTTCTCTCGGAATGCATTCCAAAAGTCGATTTCATTCTTCTATCTCACAGAATCCGTCTTAATGATCATGTGGGAAAAAATCACCTTTATTCGGTCAAAAAATAGACAGAGCAAACTGAATGAATCGCCATAAAAATTGAAAATTTAAAAGAGATTAGCTTCAATGCTTGTTGCGTGCCTCAAAATTGTTTCCAACTCCACACCTTTCCAGGAATTGATTCAATCTAAAAATTTTTGCGTTTTCAGCCTAAGAACGAATCATTGTGCGTTTTTCGACCCTTTTTGCGCTATCGAAAATGGCACCGTTATCACCATTTGCAGTTCTACGATGACATTTCAGCTCGAAAAGGATGTGATTCTAGTTTGCTACTTAATAAGTTTCCATCATGAGAATAGCGGAATAGTCGTTTTCAGAATCTCAAAAATAAATTGATACGAGCAATTCTTACCGTAATCTAGCAATACTGCTCATACAAATGCTCAATAATTTAAGATGTTATATTACATCCCCAGTCAAGTGAACATTCAGAATTTTGCCCAAGATCTTTCATATTGTCTGGTGTGTTTGATTACTAGGGGCTTCTTAAGACTGTACGTACAGTTCTATTTTCAATTCCTTGAAAATCACCGAGAACGCGTCTTCTCATGCGTAAACCCGTCATCGGTCGTCGACAATTCTATGATTTCAGTAATCCTCCAAACAATTCCGTTTCGATCATAGTTATCATAGTTTATTGGATTTAAGATTGGATTCATTGATACGAAAACTCTTAGCAAACAGTTTTAGTCTTCCATACCGTGGCCAAATGTTCGATTTGCTCATCAGTAGCGCCAAGTGAGAGGAGACCAATCTCTTGCGAAAACTGCGCCAATGTGGGGTCGGCAAACATTGGACAATGACCGATGAACTCGTGGATCAAATCCGGTTCAGGGCTATGATGCGGCGATCCAGTGTGTCTTACGTAGAGCGTTGTCTTGAAAGCGTGAAATAACAATTATTCATCACAATATTAAAGGTTGCATTTTGTTCAATATTAAACGTTTGATATACTTTAAATTTGGTAATTCAGTTAGCATGCGCGAATGAAGAGTAAGTAGAGAAGTTGACGTACCTGAAATACTCTGAATGCTAAACTCGCAAGAAAGTCTCTGGCTGACAGGAGTCCACTGCATGGACGAAGCATGAAACCGGTTTTCCCTGAAA